AAATAAATGAATTTAACTAAGAAAATTATGTTTTTAAGCCTAGCTTTTATTTTGGACTAATTTTTCTTAAATTTAGCTTCTTTTGGCTTTTTTTTTGCAAATCTCGCTCTATTTGCTCGAAAAATTATGACAGCACTGCCGCCCGCACGAGACTTGGCAAATCGTAAAAGTTTATACATATATCATAAATTATAAAAGCTAAAAGCTTCAACTCACAAAGTATATATATTCTTGATCAGGGCGATGAACTGAGTCAATTTGGCCCTGTCCGTCTGTCCGTATGTTTGAATGCGTCGATCTCAGAAGAGGCTCTAGTTGAGACTGCTAGACTAGGAGATAACCTGAACCCTCCAAGCTGATATTCTAATCATTTTGCACACATGTATCCAGACGCACGCATAAGCCCGTGTTCTGCTAACTGCATAGTAAGTATCGACTGCGCTTGGACTGTGCTGCAGTGTGGGCAATATTATGAGAATGTATTTGTTCAATAATTCCTTTGTAGACGTACAATCTTAATGAAACTTTCAGAACGTGATCAAAATGTTCAAATGTATATAATATGTACATTCCAAAGAAAAAGTCTCTAGTACTTAAAATGTGTACAAATTGGTGGCAAAGGGGGCATGGTATCCTAAATCTGTAAATTACAAAATGATTGTATTTATCATGTATGTATATACACAGTTAATCTGAATTCTCCAAGTCTAATAGTATTCAAAATAGGCTGAAAAAACCAAATCAATTTTTCGATCACACTCGATAAAACAGTTATCGGATGACTTATCAAAAAATTAAAACAAACGTGTACTGCTTATGGTATACACGCGTATGCACGCCGAATTTCAGCTCCCTAGCTCTTAAAACTTCTGAAATTTAGGCGCTCATATGGATGGATGGTCAGACGGACAGGGCTATAGCCCTGATCAAGAATACATATATATAGTTTATGCAGCTTGCGATGATTCCTTCCGCCTGTTACACGTTTTTCACAAAACCATTATACCCTGATTTTCGATTTTCAATGGGTTCAGGGTATAATTATATCTCCTACATCTTTATTGAGCTTTCTTACATGTTTTTCACATGTATTCTGCTTACACAAAAAAACATCACATGCACATACACACGCAGACAAATAGGGCGCAAGCATGGGCGAGACTGCTCGACTAAGAGACACCCTGAATCCTACAAGGAATTGATATATTAGAGCTAAACTAAGCAATTTAGTAGCTTATGAGGTGTAAATGAGTATTCCGCAGTCGGTAACGCCCGACTGCAACGTTCTGTCTTGTTTTGACTTGACTTGACTTGACATTATCTTCATAAAACTTTAAGAACGTGATCATAAATGTGTGCATATTCCAAAAAACACGTATTCATTAATTAAAATACGTTTTTACAAATTGAGGACGAAAGTGACATGGTACAATCTTTGTATTTATCGAATGTATGTATGTACATATATTCAGAAATGACAGGTCGCTTTTTCCCAAAATACGTTTCTATTAGTCGAAATCTTTGCCCTGTCCAATACACACTTCTAGATGCTATGATACGAAAGTCCATCTGAGATAAGTTATCCCACTCTATCTTTGAACATGCACGGCATTTCTGTGTTCATACATATGTACATACATACAATGTATAAAAATTCTTAGAAAGAGCTAACACCTTTCGGTATTTCTTTTGACTGTCTTGGCAGAATGCATCAAATGCGTAATAAATGTTTGATGATGGACAAATTAACTAAGCTCGTTGTCCTGATCCCATATAATTTGCATTGTTATCCAATTCAATTAGTACTTACATTTACATTTTAAACCAATAAATTTAAGTTTACCTTAATCGAAGTGATTTGCTTCATCGTGGATTCATCTACTACTGCACTAATTAGAGTCGAAGTTGGCGTTGTTGGCTGGCTGGCCAGATCCTTGGATTTCATGGAGACCTCGGTCAAACCGAGAGCTGTGACATGGCTCATCGAATAGTTCGCAGCTGCTGCTGCCGCTGCCTGTTGGGGGGTCATTGGATGGAGAATTCCGGCACTAGCGCGGAGGAGATGGGCCTGCAGCTGTTGCAGATGAGGCGTATGAGTTATGGGGCTGATGCTGGCAGACAGATGGCCATAAGAGCCGCTGGCAGCGCTGCTCGCCCGCGATCCATTCATTACCATGGTGGCCAAAGAATTGGGTGAGAAGCGTATCATTGAGTTGATATCGAATGAATCCGAGTATGGCGATGAGGAAAGCGCACGTTTACGACTCATACTGGCACGCATACTGCCACCGCCTGGTGGACGCGGACTACTCAAACGACCATTGCCATCCAAGCTGAAATGAAAATCGGTGCTGGCCAAAGAACCCGCGGCTGCAGCTGCCGCTGCTGCGGCCACAGCAGCATGATGCAGCTCACTCAAGGAACCCATTCCTCTCGCACTTAAATACTCACCGGAACCCAAGCCCAATCCAGCCAAGTGAAACGCCGGCGGACAATTGGCATATGGATCTATTTTGTTTACAATTAATGAACTACATTAGCTACATTATAACTTATCCACAAACCAGATTACTTACCATGATAAGAGGCGGTGGGGCTACTTCTTTGTAGCGAATAGAACTGCTCCATATAGCTTGGAATTCTATAGGCCGGATGAAAATCATGCTGCTGACCTACACTGGGGCCCTGAACATGATGGTGATGATGATGATGATGGCCGCCGGTGGCACCGCCGCCGAGAATTTGTCCATTCGAAGGCGGCGCTAAAGTGCATGGCACGCTGGAATCTGCCAGCGTCACAGGCATCCCAGGAGACACAGCAACTGACACAGAGCTGCTGCTCACATCAGTTGTGGGCATTTGGTTACTGTGGTTGCTGCCAGGTGAGCTTGGTATTGCAGAAGCCGCAGCAGCTGCAACAGCCGCCCGTCTCGATGCTAAAAACTGTAGTTCTGTGTATCTGTAATGTAAAATAATAAATACATATGAATATGTATGTACATACATACATATATCAATTTACTATGTACAATGTACATATATTGTACTACAAAGAACTATTAGTATAACAAGTAAGAGAGCTCTAGACGAGTCTGTTCTATGGAAGATACCCTTGCCTTGCAAAGAACAGTTAATCGAATCATTCTAAACTTCATCTGTACATACACATACATACACATGCATCCACATGCACGCATAAGCCCGCGCTTTGCTAACTGCGAAGTAAGCAGCGACTGCGCTTGGCTGCGCTGCAGTGTGGGCAATATTATATGAATTTATTTTTTGAATAATGTAATTTCTAGACGTACGATCTTAATGAAACTTTCAGAACGTAATCATAATGTTCTAATGTATGTATGTACATTCCAAAGGACAAGTCTCCAGTATTTGAAATGCGATTTTTACGAATTGGGGGCGAAGGGACCGTGGTATCCAAAATCTGTTGATTACATGTTTGTATTCATCATGTGTTTATACACAGTAAATCTGAAGTCTCCATGTCTAAAATTGTTCAAATGAGGCTGAAAAAACTAAATCAATTCTTCGATTATTCTCGATAAAAAGTTATCGGATGATTTATCGAAAAAAATAAAGCAGACTCTTACTGTGTATGGTATATACAAGTATGCATGCCAAATTTCAGCTCTCTAGCTTTTGTAGGGATCGACGCACTCATACAGACGGACGGCTATAACGACTCAGCTAGTCGTCCTGATCAAGAATATATATGTATACTTTATGGGGTCTGCGATGATTCCATCTGCCCGTTACATACTTTTACCCAAAACCATTATACCCTGATTTCCCATTTTCAATGGGTTCAGGGTATCAAAAGAAATGGGATACGTTATGGAATATGTGCATATCGTCGCATTCCCGCGAAATGACCGTATGTTGATTTTTTGCGAAATTCAGATTTTAATGCAAAACGGTTAGAAAACATCTGTCTCACATATGTACATACATATGTATGTATTTGCAAAAAAGGAACTGAATTCCCTCTTTCGGAAAGAAATCGATTTCAATTTAAGCGTATGTATACTACCATACAATAACAAAATTCTAAAAAGCTTCTATTTCTTTCATTAGCTCTTAATGTTATTTATTAGAACAGAAAAGTAATGAAGTGAGGTTATACATAATAAATGAGTGATAAATAAACCCCTATTTAAAATTGTTGGATATTTTTACTGGTTTAGCAGGACTACGGCATTAAAATTGTACTATACCGCTGCACGAAATAAGCTGTGAGCCACTGTATATACTTGATGGGGTCTGCCATGCCTTCTTCTGTCTGATGAATACATTTTCACAAAACTCTGCCCAGATTTCCCATTTTTATACCCTGAACCCATTGAAAATGGGGAAATCAGGGTATAATGGTTTTGTTGAAATGTATGTAACAGGCAGAA